ATACAGTTGCAAGGAGTAATGCTAAATTACCATAACCAAGGCTGGTTTTGTGTATATACATCAGAAATGATGGATGGACATGTATATAATATCATCAGAGCCTTTTTATGATATTTTCTACTAAATTTTGTATGCGAGAGGCTAGATTAGTTAAACATCATGCTAAGATTAATACAAATGACTAATAATTATGGATATCTCAATTTGGGGGGTCCTGATTTTGAGACATTTGAAAGGAGCTTGATTTTAAAGTGGCAAGTTCTTAGAAGTTTCTGAAAGTCAGGCCACCTTTTCAGTGTCTGAAGTTGCACACCCAAAAATTCAGGGATCTAAAATAACTTGTCAGTGGCCCCAAACTTCTGAGCCAAGTCTTCCTAGATTTATTCATTACTAATTAACTTAACAAGTTATGCCAGGCAAAGTAAAACAGCTTCACAAATAACCCAGGGAGAATCCTTCTCTCATAAAACACAGCATTTGTAATGAACATGAAAACAAAGAATCCTGATTGTATATATTTATTCCAAAACTCAGAATGCTGTTCTTCCTGACCACTAACGTATGGTTTCCAAGCCCATGAAAGCAATTGTGAAAGGCCTGTATATGTTTGTGTGCTGCACAATGTCAGTAAAAACAAACAGAAACCTATCACAAATCAAGAGATCATGGCTAAAAATAAATGAATAGCTTTAGATATAAAGTTGGATCTCTTGGTCTTCACTCATTCACATTGGAACTGGTTCAAAGCTATCCAAGGTAATAAAAAGACCTTTCTAAAACAAAAGACCTACCCAGCCTAATAAAAAAAACTTGACAGAGTTACAGTGTCATTTTCTAGGGAGCTGTAACTACTGTGTTATAGCCAGTACAATCAGAACTAAGCCCAGAGCCCAGACACTGATAAAGCCTCCAAAGAGAAATGAATGTTGTCTGGATCGGATATATACAAACCTGCTATGGTAGAGATTGCAACCATGTTGGGAGCTGAATAGCTTTCGTGGTCAGGAAAAGACATGACAATGAGTTTCATTTAAAGTTTGGATTCATTTGCAACAGCAACAATGAGGTTGTTTATCAAAATACAGAGAAGTTATTTCATAAGCAAGCAAAGGTCTGAAAAACATTAGATAAGATGCAACTCACAAGTAAACAGTCTCTTCTGTAATATGGCTATGAAATAAAGGCGTTACTAATTTGACATTCACTTGAGTGATCAGATTTCTTGTTTGTGAATATGTCAAGTTTGAGAATATATTGTATGTACCAGGTCACTGTATTAATTGGGATAATACCTTTTTGTTTATGAATCATTTGTCAGAATCCCCCAACCTGTGTGACTGTATTTGTTACTCATTACTTTTCATGGCATTAGTTGAATACTTTTCAGCCTGTGGGTTTTCAACTGCAACAATTTGCTATTTGTTTATCATGACCTGTGTTTGGTCACCGAAGTTACAGTCATCCAGAAACAATGCTATGTAACTTTTAATCAGGAGAATATTGAATAGCATAGGTCTGGTATGAATTTGAGTGTACTCTTTTGTACTAACACTTGTGAATACTTTGTTATTTATGGGGTTATTATATATTCTCTGCATACTCACAACCACCAAGTCAATCTATTTATTCATAAATGTCTGTCATTCTGATCCCATTCCTCCTGCCCGTTCCCCACTGTGCTAATATATTCTGGCACATCAAACATTCCCTAATAGAGTCACTACTTGAAATCAAATCAAGTAAAAAGTGTACTTCAGGTGAGTCAGCTAAACTATAGCCCAAATCTTGATGTCCTTATTCTGTATTTACTCAAGCAAAACTCCCATTGAACTGTAGCCGGAGTTTGACTCGCATCTATTTCACAAAGAGAAATTACCAGGCAGAGATGAAAATCTGGATTACTCTGAGTGAAACTGTCCTTCAAAATGTGCTTAAAGTGTAAGTAGTTGGAAATAATATGTATCACAATGGAGGGTATATTCATTTGAAGTTTTAGCTTGAGAATGAAATTCCATGGACCCTTTAAAAAGATGAACTACTTGTCAGCGTGTATTGGTTTGTAGAAACCATTGCTGGATTGGTACTGATAAAAATAAGAGCTAAGAATAAAACATCAGAGCCAGCAATGTGCATGGTTTCTGTCCAGATCAGGCTCAGCTGTCTTATCTCCTGGGTGATCTAGAAAGTTCACAGAATAAAAAATTCGAGAAACAGTCCAGTGAGGAATGCTGGTCTTATGATTTAAGAAATAACAGTGCTGGGGAGTATACTGCTGACTAAAATTTTAAAGACTGTTTGCTTGAATTAGGCTCCTAATTCCATTTAAGTACCTAATGAAGTGGCTACATTGTCAGAGTGATTCAGTGCAAGCTGGATTGTGGCATTAGAACCCTAACTTTTAGTTAACAGTTTTGAAAGTCCTGTTCCTAATCTCTGGGGAAGTGAGGAAGGGGTTAACATATCTCAAACTAGAAGGGCTACACCTGTGTTTCCTAATTGTGGGGATTGCAAGGGAGTGGAGTGAGGTCAGCTGTGAGAAAAACAGTGTCAGGCCTCTTAAAAAGGGAGTTGAGTGGCAATAGGGACTCAGGAAGGAAATGGTGGCTCTTTCTGTGTTAGAAGCAAGCCTAAATTAGTGTGTTGAGGTAAACCTAGCTGTTCTCTCTCTCTCTCTCTCTCTCTCTGTGTTCTTGATTTGAATATATATATTTGTTTGGCTTGAGGTGGAGAGGAACAAGGTGCAGTTTTCATCTTGTTAGTTGCTTGTAATAATGGAAGAGCTTTGTCTTGCTGAGGGTGTGCCCCTCTCCCAGCCTTGTATGTCTGGTATTCTGCAGTCAGTGTAGGGGATGAAGGGTGTGTGTGTGTGTGTGTGTGTGTGTGTGTGTGTGTGTGTGTGAGAGAGAGAGATTATGATTTAGGCACTTAGATAAAGTGTTTTGAGTGAACTTATGTAACAGTGCCCTATACTCTACAATAGGTACTTGTGAGAACTACACAGCAGTAGTTACTCGCTACCCTTAAACCTGACTCTTTTTAAGTCCAAATACAAAAGTATAATTGAACGATGCACACAGCTACCCTCAAGTATCCTTGCTGGGGGTATTTCATCCCAGGAGGGTTGTGGAATTCACTGGCCAACAGGGGTTTTCTCTCTAGCTGCAGATCATTCTATGGGGTGACAGTGATTTGCTTTCTGTATCAAATTGCCAATGGCAGTAGGACTAACAAAGAAAAAAATGACCATTTTCCCCTTCTACCTGATCACCAGAGAAGAACCACTCTGAGAGCTGCTTCAAGCTGAAGCTGTGCTCTCCATTCTTGTTTGTGACTATAAATATCTGAAGGCTGGTCCTAGCTACCCATTTGTTAACAGGAAATCTGAAATAAACTACTTCCCGCTGAAGTAATTTTCAGATGAGTCTGATTCAGAGACACAAATTTTGGAGACTGAGGAATTAAATTGCACCTATGTGCTATCAGGTTGATGCTCCTACGGTGTGCTTATTGGGAACAATGTGGGAAGCAAATAGAGATCTAATTATATAATTTTTGGACATTTATATTGTCCATAAATGAATTATGGCGTTGATCCTGATGCTGAACAGATTAGAACTGTGAAGTTCTGAAGGAGTTCCCAGCGGGCGGGATTACAAGCCCGAGAGAGAAGGGATCAGCAGCACCCCAAAATGCTGTCTTCATCTGTTCCTTCTAGTTTAAAAATAGAGTGGAAAACTGATGAGGTGCTACAATTATATATGTGTAAGCAGGGGCTGAACTGCTGCTTGCTGTCAGCCAGCTGAAAGGAGGGGTGGGTGTGCCCACTACAGTTGTTTAGCTCTACAAGGTTGTTAACTGTTAACTGTTGACATGTAAATACTGCTCAGGAGAGAATCCAAGGTGTGGCTATGTAAATCCCATTCAGCCAGGGCTGATGGAGGGTCAGTGTTGGAATGGAATGTGGAGAATTGTATATAATTTGGGACTGTTGTGGGGGTCACTAATCATGCTACCCCTAAATGTGGGAACTGTCAAACATGCCACCAGTGCTTGCAGGAGAGACACCACCATCATGGTAAGAGGCCTCGGAAGAACAAGCCTCCCCCCTTCCAGAGTTGAGAGAACAGAGCTGGGGGAAAGGGTTAAAGGACTTGAGTCAGCCTGCTTCACACCTACCAGGTGTGAGCTATAAGACTGGCCCAGCCTGCACCTTTCCCCCTTTGTTTTAAGGACAGACCTAAAGCAGACTCCCTGAGGAGTCTTTTTGTTTGCTAGTCCAGTGAAAGCTGGATTCAGTTGAGAGCTGAAATCACTGGTTTGGCTGAGAGTTGAAATCACTAAGCTGAAATCACTGGTTTGGCTGAGAGTTGAAATCACTAAGCTGAAATCACTGGTTTGGCTGAGAGTTGAAATCACTAAGCTGAAATCACTGGTTTGGCTGAGAGTTGAAATCACTAAGCTGAAATCACTGGTTTGGCTGAGAGCCAGACCTACTGCAGCCAGTAGAGTGGCAGCAGGCAAGGAGCGGCGACTAGCGGCGTGGCGCGGCGGCAGGTGAAGAGCAGCCATCAGCGGCGTGGCGTGGAGCGGCGGCAGGCGAGGAGCGGCGACAGGTGCCCAGCGGAGCGTCCAGAGGTGTGGGACGAGACAGCTGGTGAAGCGTAGCGGAGTTTCGTATAAGGTGCCCCCTAATCTATCTCCCCACCCCCATTTCTACCCAGGTTGGGAGGTGAAACCCTGTGGGTGAACTTTGGGACTCTGGGTGGCACAGAGCCTTGTGGGGACAGAGACTTTTGGGGAGTCGGTGGACTTCGAGCGAATCTTGGCCGGGGTGGGGGCTCATGTTTGGGTTATGAACTCTGTTTGTGGTGTTTTCCCCAAGCTAATGCCGTATGAATTCTTCCTCTGTTTCATTAAATGTTCTTTTCCTACACTCAGACTCAGTGCTTGCGAGTGGGGAAGCATTGCCTCTCAGAGGCGCCCAGGGGTGCGTGAATTTCCCAGATCACTGGGTGGGGGCTCGAGCCGGTTCTTTGTGAGATTGACCCCAAGATATTGAACCCAGCCCTGGTTCCTGCCAGGCCTACCCGGCAGAAGGGCTACATTTTGGGGGCTCGTCCGGGATTTACTGGGTCAGTACCCCTCGCAAGCACATGTTGAGTGAGTTGCTGTTGTGGGAAATAATTGTGATTTGTATTTGAGGGCATTACTGTTTGTATCATGGCTTGTCTGTCAGGTTTGTTGGGCCCTGGCCCAGAAGCCTCTAGCTCAGAGGCAGCAACCTCAGCAGATGATTGGGCAAAAGCCCTGGGGCAAATCTTGGAGAAATGTGTGCTATCCCATGCTATGGCAAGCTCCTATTGTAAGTTAAGATTATTCCCTGGGGAAGAGGAGTTTGAACCCTGGCTGGAACACACCACTGAAATGCTAAACCAGTGGGCTGTGCCAGACAGAGAAAAACAAAGATGTTTAGTAGACAGTCTCCGGGGCCCAGCTTTAGATGTGATTCGCACCTTGAAGCTCACTAACCCTGAGGTCAGTGTAAAGGACTGCCTAGAGGCCCTCACTCACACCTTTGGGAGCATGGAGGGGCCTGAAGGCAGTTTCTGTAACTTTCTCAATGCTAAGCAGCACCGGGGAGAGGAGGTCTCAGCCTATGTACAGAGGTTGGAGAGGTTGCTGCAGAGAGCTGTCATTAGGGGAGCCGTGACTGCTGAGCAGATGGACCAGACCAGATTGGCTCAAATTGTAAGAGGAACTCCATATTACAGCCCGATTCTACTACACCTCCGGCTAAGAGAACGACTGGAACACCCCCCTGCGTACTCCCAACTGATAAAGGAGGTCAGAGAGGAGGAAGAAAGGCAGGCTACCAGTGGGCTTTGGGAGGCCCAGAGGCCTAAGCCAACCAGCGCTGCACCCCGACAAACAGCCGGTGTGCTCATGGTGAACACCAGAGGAGACATTGCCCAGCAAGTTCAGGTCCTGACAGAACGGATTGCTGAGTTGCAGAGAGCCA